CGCATGTCTTAATTCCAGAGATAATATTTGCTCGTTCTCTACATTTATAATTGTCGATTTAGTATGTGCAGTCTTCATTTATTTGGAGAAAAAATGGGTCAATAACTGAGATTTTATATAGTATAGTTTTACTTGAAAATAGTGAAATGTTCCAAAATACATTTCATGTATCTTGCAAGTTACAATTCACGGAAGTAAATTAGTATTTCAAAATTTCTGTTTATCACATGTTTTGGTGTGTGTTTTCAGTTCAAAGATTATCCCCAAGTTAAAACCTCAAATCAACACCAGCACCGGAAGACACACCTCCTTTCCTATATTCTTCTCGATGCAAGCTTGAGACTCAAACTTGTGATCCAAGAAAAAGCTTCGATCCCTGTACGAGATCCATGCGTGAACTCGATCCTCTCCTTGTTACATAATACAAACGTGATGCCACCTATTAAACGTTCACATATTTTTCAATCAATAACCGCCTTAAACGTGCTGCCTTTAGACATCACATATTTTTTCAAGGCCAGTTGACAGAACCATTACATGTACGGATATGAAAGAGTCGATTACTATATAGGACACTTATCTTTTATAACATCTAGAGACAAAATCCGCTTGAGAGACACTTTCATAGTGTCCAAAAGATATTCTAGACAGAAATACCCTTAGCCCGAGGCAACTAGAGATGTGATTTGGTTTGAGGTAAGTATTAACAGCCTGACTTTAGTTTGAGTGTAATAAGTTTTTTGATTATTTTATATTTTCAATTTCTTATTCCATTTTAGGTTTTCATTACTTTTTTCTCAATTCTAAAATATATAAAATAAAAATAATTGCACACTAAACTATATATAAAATTATCTATCTTTTAATATCCATTTTCATATATATATACTAACATATATATACATAAAAAGTGTGAATATGGACACCAAAATGTAGATGATAGTGTTATAAATTAATTGTGGACATGAACACCAAAATCTAGATCATATCTGTGTACATGATGAAAAATATCTAACATTATAAGTAACAAGTTAAAAAGAGACAATACTATGCGGTCTTACCTCAGTTCTTCCCCTCGAGAATAGGTTTCCCAAGAAGCACTTCAGAAAAAACACAATCAGCACACCACAAAACAACATATGCTCCAAAGTCCTTTGAAACAAAAAATTCATAAACAAAGGTTCTCCATTCCTTCAAAAGGTTTTTGTGTTCTGGAAGTAGTGTCTCCATAATGGACGAACCTGAACCAGAAAAAAACCATTAGTAAGAGTTGGATTTTCGATTCTATGAGTTCTCTATATGAATGATAGACTACCAAACAATAGAATGCTATGATGTGAGACGATACCTTGTCCTGGACCCGACATCCCAAACGTTAAATTTAATGTTCTTGAATTTCCTAGATTTACCTCCCAAACGGTAAATTTAATGTTCTTAAACTTCATAGATTTAACATTGAAACCTGAGAAACAAACAAGGATTCTCAGTTAGCTTCTCATACAAAGCAAAATAAAAAAACTTGCACAAGAGATGAAAATGAAGTTATTTACTTTCCAATGGTTGGAATTGACTTGTGGATATGACCATTGGTCCATTACTGAAATTATGATATCCACTCATCGGTTTCTCCAACAAACTCCATCTTCATCTTTATTACCATTATTCTCAGCAAAAGACCTATCTTAGAAGCTACAGCTCTCGCTATTTTCATCCTCGTCTCACCATCTCCTCCTTCATCTATCATCTTCCTTTCGATCTCTCTTTGTGTACCCACTGCAACTATGGCTAATCTATTAACCGTTCCCAGTCTCCTCACTCTGTAATTGATACTCTGTAATTTCATCCAGTCGCCATCTACCGATCTGTTTCCTCTTTCACCGAACCAAGTAGCAAAGCACTACATATTTCTTATCCACATATAAAGTTTCAATAGCAATCTTATACTTGAGAGAGTAACATAGATCCAATAAAACAACAACGAGATCTCGCCGCCGTCCACTTCCAAACCACAAGAGCTTGTTGTCATCCTCTTCCACACCACGAGCTCGGACCTGCTTGCCGTCGCGTCGTCGTCGCGTCGTCCTCCCCACGTCGTCGTCGTGTCGTCCTCTCCACGTCGGAACTCAAATTTGCTTACCCTCGCGTCGTCCTCTCCAGACCGTAGCTCGGACCTGCTCGTCATCTCACCGGAACACACACCAGCTAAATCTCTTTGCCAGCGATGACACATGATCTTTCACCGTAACTGGAACCGGATTCGAGTGAATCTCTAATCTCTAATCTCTAATTGATTAGGGTTTGCTGTTTGTGAAATTTGGTAAAGAGGGGTCTTATGTTTTAGTAATGAAAGAAAAATAGTTAACTAAAAATCCCTAGAAATAACCATATGAACAAATCGTTTTCACTAGAAGTCCATGTCTTATCAGCTCTCCCAATCCTCTTTTGATATTGTTTGGAAGTTGGAACTCTCAATATTAAGAGAGAAGATTAACTTGTCTGGTTTCATAATGAATCATGAGAAAAAAAAAGGAAAGAGAAAGTAAAGTTTGGTTAGGTTAGGGGTGTTAAAGTCTTTAAACACACAGAATATGTGTGGCAAGTGTAATGTGCCTCTAGATGTAAATGAAAACACATAAAATGTGTATGAGAGTAAATTTTTCTCAATTCTTTTACACAATTTTAAAATAAAAAATTGTGACGTAAATTGTGCTAGACGGCTACAATAACTTTTGGTGCATCATAACAAACCAAAAATAATAGACAGTTACATAATTTATTAGACATGATACTTAATGTTGTTAGCCTGCTTAGATGAATTTGATTCATTATGTGATTTGTTCCTTTAGACTGGAATCAAGAAATTTTACTAGTTCGACAAAAAATTAGACAGAAATTAATTAATTTAGTTGGAAAATCTTATATGTGGCATAAAGGATGAGACTAACAGTTTTGGGATATTTTTATGGCAGAAGGACATAGAATTAGGTTTTGGATACATGGTCAATAAAGTGCCAATAACCAACATGCGGTCAATGTGTTATTCCTTCAATTATTAAAGTTGAAAATGAGGGAGACGGTGATGGTGGCTCGTCGTTTGGTTCATAATGTGTATACGGTTGTCTGAGTAGAAGATGATTCACAATCGAGTGGGTTCTTTGTCGATATGCCAAAACCATACGACATTACCAGTATATAGATGGATATCATTTCTTTTACACGGTCTAAAATTAAGGAACCCGTATTTTAAGTTGTGTTATACGGCTACAACAATTTTGGTGCATCGTAACAAAAATAATAGATGGTTACATAATTTATTAGATGGACTACTTAAACTTTTAGCTGTCTAACTAAATTTAATAACAAACTAGATTTTGACCCGCGCAACCGCGCGGGTGTTTGTTTTCGTTTATAGTTAGTTATATAAACATTTTATTTTCACTTGTAAATTGGTATATATTATAGTAATCACATATTTACGATATGTATAGTATATGCTTTTCAAACATAATAATATTATATAATACGTATTTTAATCAAATAGATTGTTTCAGATTTTCTATATTATACATTTTTTTCAAACATGTGTTTGTTTTTTCTTCTATATTTTATTGTTTGTTAGATTAGTATTTCATTTTTAGATAAAGTAATATAAATAGAGCTTGATTAAATATTAGTATACTTTAATTTGCAAAGATAATATAAATTTCGAAGAAATTTTTGTTAAAAACTAAACTTATAGCTTCATAAATTAATATTATAAATATTTTTTTTAAAAAAAATGATTTTTTAAAACAATATAATTTTAAAAATTTACATCGAAATAAATTTATCTAATATATATATCATGTAAATTTTGTTAAGGTATATAAATATTCCATATTACGAATCTGTGATTTTTGTTAATCTATTGTGGATGCATTTAACTATTATTGACATATTAACTTATAAATAATAGAAGATTCCTAAATTTATATCTATTGATATATTTTGGGTGAACAAGTTGGAAGGTGTGAGGTAATTTACCAAAACCAAATTGTTAAATGTATCTTTGTTATTAAAGATATGATTTTTCATAAGATATAACAATGATAAGATTATTAGATAGTTAATGTAACATGACTTTCTAGTAATAGTCCATTTTTTAAAAAATCACACATGAAATCAAGTCACGACTTCTGTTTTAATATATAAGATATACATATATATATATTTAAAATGAAAAGATATCATTATTAAAATAGTTATAAATATTTTATATTATTAGGTTTAATGAAATACATGTTAATTTATATATATGTATTATATAGTTTGCTAATGTTAACCCGTATTACCAACATATTAGATTTTATGTTTTAGCATAAATAGTTTATATTTATGAAAATAAAATATATAGTTTTATCAATTTAATACAATTATTATATTTAGGTTAATCTAATAATTTAATCTAATTGATTATGATATGATATGATATAATTTTTTATTTTTTTATTTTCTAAACTTAACTGAAAATATTAGTTTTTAATAATATTTCAAACTAATTTCGCAATTACTAAAAATATTTAAAGATAATATCGAAAATGAAGATCTTATAAAATCTTTTAAAATAGATTTGTTAGAATTTAAATAAATATATTTATATTTAAAATGAAAAATGAAAAGATATCAAAAGATATTATGATTAAAGTATTTTAAAGATTCTATATATTATTAGTCTTAATGAAATACAAATAGTCTAAGTTTTGATAGTCCATTTTTTAAAAAATCACACATGAATCAATGTTATGACTTCTGTTTTAATATATAAGATTATAGGATAACTTGGTGGTAAATAAAAAAGATTTTCCAATCCATTAGGAGTATCACTTTGCACTCTGGTTCGAATGAATTTTTGATTGATAGTTACCTAAATAATAAATGGTTACATAATTTATTAACCGGGATACTAGACGGTCTTATCTGGCTAATGGATATTGAATGGCAATCAGTAAAATAATAAAAAGAGAATAAAGAGCAAATATAGCATGTCCACGTCGGTTTGAAAAATAGAACCAATCATAAAGTTTCGTTCTTCCAGGTCACACTTTGTTTTGTAGACATAGAATCTGGACTAAACAAAACTGAAAGTTACCCTCTATAGAACAGGCCATCTCTTTTTCAATACAGAATGTTATGTCTCTCTAACTCCGACTCTTCCAATTCAACATCGTGTCTGAAACAGAGTGCGTCATGGTTTTGTTCATGTTTAATCTCATTAATTCAGATGCCCAGTACAAGTTCTTCAATGCTTTGTTTGCATCAGCGAGGATCTTCTCTTCTAGAAATCACGATCTCTTCATCGCACCTGAAATCAATCCACCGTGTCTCTCGCTTACCATCATTGCGTGCAGACGGAATCGTGGCTGTGGCGTTCAATATCCACTTCAACACCTCTGGTCAATCAAGGCTTGATGGTTTAGGGGTGAATTTAAGTCAACTTAATTATGCTTCTGCTCTTTACCTCCGTTGCCAGAACTGTAGAGGAAAGCTTCTGCGAGGGATCGAGTCTTCTGCGTTTTCAGGGGCAAGCAGCAACGGATAAGAAATTGTCCTCCTGATCCAATCAAGCTTTTATCCACTTCCGTCTACAAACGGTTTTCCAGTCCCCCTGATCCAATCAAGCTTACCTTCACTTCATCCTACTCTTATATTATCCTTTGTTAATGTTCTCCAGGTGAGGCTGAAGCAATACTCGCTAGAGCACAAGTAACTTCTAGAGGTTTTACCATGTTATCTCAGTCTCACGAAGAAACTGGGGGAGTAGAGGTGAGTTTTATGAACCTAGCTTGGTTACTTAATCCTCATAGTAATTTTTTTATTCACTCTAGACAAAGGTTCCGTGTCTTCTTGGACTTGCCAAATTGAGATAGTTTTATTGTCATACATATTCATTGGTTTAGGATTGTATTTTTAGCCGTAATGTGATCTTATGCTTCATCATTGTACAATTTGCATGCTGCGAGTTTGAGACTTGCATAGCAATACATTCAAGCCGTCAGTAACATTGCCAAGGAGGTAAGCACACATATCTCATATAAATCTCTTGGTATTGCTTGTGCTATCTAATGTTGAGTGTTTTTTTTTTTTTTTTTTTTTTTTTTTT